CGTCAAAATTTCTCCACCTCTTCTTCAAGTTTTCCATAGGACAGCTCCACAATAGACTTCCAATCTCGCGCATGCAACATTCGTGAGAGCAGCTCACGCAGTGTCATCCTTTTGATCTCTGTGTCCTAAAACTTGGATAAAATACAATAAAGAAGTTTGTGGAGAATTACAGAAATCATACGGTATTCTGTATAATGCTTTGCAAAGCGTCGCACCAATTCCCTTGATTGACGAGATGATTGAAAAGTGTAACGTAAATGCGAGACTAAAGTAATGTGACTCCAATTTACACATCCACCAGACAAGTTGGCAACAAACTCACAGTACACTCGTGACCAGGAGGAAGTGAAGCTACGGCACTTCTAGCCATTTCGACTACTTCTTCGCTATGGCGGTGCTCATGCAGATAGCGTAGAGCCTAGAATGACGACTCATACACAATAGACATGATAGCAAAAACAAAGTCTCTTACCGTTACATAATAGTCACCGAGATTGATCCCTTCTGATGACTTTCCAACTGGTGAGAGAGCAGTTAGAAGAGCTTTGTTGTGCTCCGTTATACCTTTAGCAGCCAAATTGAAGTTGGTCATTGCCTGAATTAGTTTTATCTCAGCGGAGCCATTCAACTGCAGGGAGGGCTTTCTTCAGAAATAGATGGTGAATCATACTCTCAACGGTTTTCCAATTCCTGAATATGCTATGGCGCTGTAGAATGTCATTACAGAGCGAAGTTCTTCCGGTGTCCTGTTGACATATAAGGTACAAAGGTTCTAGAAGTAAAATTATATCGTACTTTTCAGAAATGGTCGCACCCATTTGAGGCAGCGAACGAGAATTTGATGAAAGAATCGATACATGCCGCTGATACACGAATATACATATCTTGAGTTAAAAGTACTTACCATCAAAATTGCGTACTTCTCATGTGTTGCTAGAAATCTGGCCAGTAAAGCCTCTGTGGAATATGGCGATAGAACTCGCAAACCTGCCTGAATTACTGCATTTACACTTACGAAAGATTTCTTTTCAATACATACATTGACTATTTTGTCCAGAAACTCATTGTACTTAAGTCGGGAGGTTTGTTCGTCAGATGATCCTGCATGAGCTGCTTTGCAAACCCATTCGACACCGTCTCCTTTGAAAAACCAACTGCACAACGACACTTGGACGTTTTCTCTAAAGAAGCTCAAGATGGTACGCAGTATACGAACCTAAAAAAATTACCATGACCCACTTGGCAAGCTTTAACGCAAGCAGATCGTGGAACAGTCCATATAGACTCTTAACGCTACTCAAGTTCGTTTCGAGTTCCGAGAAATCGAACATAGGGTAGTCAGAACGCATCTAGAATTAACAAGTACACTGTTAGAGGGTTAGAAAATATTGTGGTGCTCACACTATCTTCGGCATACAGTTGGATGAGTGCCAACAAGCTACGTGATAGATCAAGTCTCTGTTTCACTATATGTCGCAGCCGCGATGCGATGAGATCGCAAGTGAAGGATCCACCAAACATGATATCCTTGCTCGGCTGTTCTACAGATACAGTTCAGAAGAAATAAGGATAAGCGAGGCAATGGTATCCAAAAAACTGAGTAACCAGCGTGAGTACCTGCTGAGGTCAGGGGAGATTTGGCTGCTTCTAAGAACAATTCAATAACCTTTGCCCATTTCTTAATCACCTAAATAGCAATATCACATCTACGTAAACTGCTTCAAACATTCAATGCGACTGCGGATATGAAATAATACTTACAATTTGGGAGCGCATGTTTGTGCAGTTGTGAGCAGGTCCATTTAACGTTTCGTATTCATCCACTCCAAGCTCATCTTCTTCCTAAAAGAAATGTTATTCATGAGATAAGGGCACGTAAATAAGATGACTAAGCAGAATATTTATCGTAGAAACTCAAAATTTTAACTTGATATGTACGTAGTTTCAATATAATTTTTTTCCCAAACAATCAATAGTGGATGAAACTAACGATGAGCTCAACAGACCTTAGCTTTAACCCTTTCCAGTGCGACAGAGATTATTTTCTCCATAACCTCAGGGGCACAGCTCTCCAGTTCATTCACTAAATCATCTTCACCAACCAGAACAACAGAAAAGCGATCCTGGATAAAAAGGTATATCTGTGACTATTGAACATTCAACATAAAAAAACAGTTGCTTTACACAATTACTTAGAACTTACTTGCTGTACCACCCCCGCTAACGAAGATCCAACCATATCCAACAAAAAAAGACCAATTGGACCACGGGCAGCCTGTTCTAACTGATCACAGGTGCATCCAAGTGAATAGAAGAACCTAAAGGAGAATCATCAGCAGCTGGAACAAACAAATATGGTAAAATACTTGTTTAAAGTTTAAAACATCATAACCTCTGCTCAGCCTCTTTTTGGGCATCAAGGGAAGAAGATTTGATTGCGCGTCCACCTCGTTGCACGTAATGAGCGTCAAACTACAATTTTACTTCAAAACATGCTATCTGAGAAAAGGAAATCTCTAGCAAATGCCAAAACACGTCATTATCAGCCATTTATACGTTGA